CCATGATATAAAATGGAACATAGATGAATACAAGAGAGGGTGACATAAAACTTGACCTCCAATCAAAAGCATAAAAGACTAAAACAGTAAATGAGAAGGTACTACATCTTATATAAATAGGGCACAGCTCAACTGGTGGATCAATCAATATTGTCTTGCTTCTAGCGGTAGGTTGGAGAATTCGATTTCTGGTTGGAACTTGGCCAAATATTTGGCATGGAGCAATCACTGTGGAAAAAGGGTCTCTTGTGCGCAGAAGTGTACAGGCAATAGGGGGAACCTGTGATCTAATTGAGACATAACCTACGATTTACCCCCTCTAAAGTTCTAAGGGCAAGAGTCTTAGGGGTCCAGGATTTAGTCTGGTGTAAGTTGGAATACTTGGATATAAAAAAAAAAAAAAAAGGAAAAAAAGAACGGAACAATAAAGTTTAAAGACCTCTGAACATAGAAAAGCCATATTTGTCTATCTATAGAAGGACGAGAAAATGTCTAGCCAAGTCGAGAGGACCATACACCAAATAGTAGCATTGGTCCCATCCCTTTACTACAAGTTAGTCAGCAAACTGTTTTCCCTCACAATAGATATGGGAAATAGCATTATAATCAGACAGCGAATGCCTGATATGTCTGCGAGTAGTCTAGATTAACCGTAAACTTCCACCATGGATGATGCAATGAATGGATGGAACAGAGCCCATCTCTATCCACAAGTCTGAAGCCTAAGTCGGCAAGCAAGAGTGATACCATCAAGAATAGGTCGTAGATGCGCCTTAAGTATAGGGCAGTCACCATAATTTGTAGAGCGGTCACGAATACAGCATCGAGACTGATCTTGAATAACATTCGTACTGTTAGCAAAATCATTCATGATGTACACATCAATGTTTGATCTTCTAAGATCCCATCAGTGGAGTACCCCATAAAACCAAAATATGAAGGGATGGTGGGGGATAAATAATATAAATACCAAAAGAGGGGTGATATACATGTCTCGTTACTAGCACTCGAACCAAAATAAACGGCCTGTGTGAAGAAGAGACTATAGTGTGATAGACCTGCCAAATGATCCTCCGAGGCTCCATAGCAATCCCCTAATGCTTCACATCATTCCTCACATTCCATAAGAACTATAGGACCAGCAAAGGAATGATGGTGTATATGTGGCCACTCCAAACAAATTGGTTTTAGAATCATTACCTTTGAAAGTGGTACTGAAATCCCCCACCCTACCGAAGAGGGATCAAAAATATGTCAGATAAATAATGCCAAACCTGGTTTGTAATTTTGCTACCTGCAAATTGGTACGAGATGATCCCAATCATCAAGAAACATTGACATTGGAAGGCTAGATGACTCCCAATCTACCGTTGAATCACAATGTCAACTGAGAGTAGGCCCTGCCACAAACACAAACAAAAGAAGATCTTTGGAGAAATGATGGAGATCCATATCATAGGACAGATATCCTGAGGCAACTGTCCCAAGTGAACAAGCTGCAGCCAAATTGGGTATAGAAACTACCATCAACTGTGTCTTTTTGCATAATATGTTTAGAAAAATAAGAGCGGAGTGGTATTCTCCCAATCTGCTCGATAGTAAGAGGTAAAAGGACATATAATAGGTAGTCAATATCCCAACTTGTATCGTTAAAGAACTCATAGGCCCTTTCAGGTGAGTGATGTTGAGTGAACATAAGTCCACAAAAGTAGTATCCCCGTGCAAGAGTCATATTAGAAAAGTAAGTGATCATGACCCAGTTGGCACACAATGTAATTCAGCCTATGGACAATCAACTTCAGCCTTCGCAAACATGTGAGGCCTAAGGAATAGATACCAGTAAGGGTGAATGTCTAAATAGTATTTGCACAAGAAGAACTGAGCCCACATGATCCCTGAGAGCTTTAGAAAGAATGTGCCGACAATATCCTGCAACCTCCTAAAGCCCAAGCTAGCCTTCTCTTTAAGGAGGCAAATGTCTTTCCACTTC